ACTGAACACATTTCACAAGTCTTGACAGTCAGGAGTTGCATACTGAACACATTTCACAGTCTTGACAGTCAGGAGTTGCATCTGAACACATTTCACTGTCTTGACAGTCAGGAGCTGCATACTGAACACATTTCACTGTCTTGACAGTCAGGAGTTGCATACTGAACACATTTCACAGTCTTGACAGTCAGGAGCTGCATACTGAACACATTTCACAGTCTTGACAGTCAGGAGTTGCATACTGAACACATTTCACAGTCTTGACAGTCAAGTTGCATACGAACACATCACAGTCTTGACAGTCAGGGGCTTGCATATACTGAACACATTTCACACTGTTGACAGTCAGGAGTTGCATACTGAACACATTTCACAGTCTTGACAGTCAGGAGTTGCATACTGAACACATTTCACAGTCTTGACAGTCAGGAGTTGCATACTGAACACATTTCACAGTCTTGACAGTCAGGAGCTGCATACCGAACGACATACTACTTGACAGTCAGGAGCATTTCACAGTCTTGACAGTCAGGAGTTGCATACTGAACACATTTCACTGTCTTGACAGTCAGGAGTTGCATACTGAACACATTTCACAGTCTTGACAGTCAGGAGCTGCATACTGAACACATTTCACAGTCTTGACAGTCAGGAGCTGCATATACTGAACACATTTCACAGTCTTGACAGTCAGGAGTTGCATACTGAACACATTTCACTGTCTTGACAGTCAGGGAGTTGCATACTGAACACATTTCACAGTCTTGACAGTCAGGGAGTTGCATACTGAACACATTTCACTGTCTTGACAGTCAGGAGCTGCATATACTGAACACATTTCACAGTCTTGACAGTCAGGGAGTTGCATACTGAACACATTTCACCGTCTTGACAGTCAGGAGCTACATTTCACCGTCTGAACACATTTCACACAGTCTTGACAGTCAGGAGTTGCATACTGAACACATTTCACAGTCTTGACAGTCAGGAGAGCTGCATACTGAACACATTTCACAGTCTTGACAGTCAGGGAGTTGCATACTGAACACATTTCACAGTCTTGACAGTCAGGAGTTGCATACTGAACACATTTCACAGTCTTTGACAGTCAGGAGTTGCATACTGAACACATTTCACAGTCTTGACAGTCAGGAGTTGCATACCGAACATTTCACTGTCTTGACAGTCAGGAGTTGCATGAACATCTTGACAGAACAGTTTCACAACACTTTCACAGTCTTGACAGTCAGGAGCTGCATACTGAACACATTTCACTGTCTTGACAGTCAGGAGCTGCATACTGAACACATTTCACAGTCTTGACAGTCAGGGAGTTGCATACCGAACACATTTCACAGTCTTGACAGTCAGGAGCTGCATACTGAACACATTTCACAGTCTTGACAGTCAGGAGTTGCATACTGAACACATTTCACTGTCTTGACAGTCAGGAGCTGCATACTGGACACATTTCACAGTCTTGACAGTCAGGAGTTGCATACTGAACACATTTCACTGTCTTGACAGTCAGGAGCTGCATACTGAACACATTTCACAGTCTTGACAGTCAGGGAGTTGCATTACTGAACACATTTCACTGTCTTGACAGTCAGGGAGTTGCATACTGAACACATTTCACTGTCTTGACAGTCAGGGAGCTGCATACTGAACACATTTCACAGTCTTGACAGTCAGGAGCTGCATACTGAACAGGAGTTGCATATTTCACAGTCTTGACAGTCAGGAGTTGCATACTGAACACATTTCACTGTCTTGACAGTCAGGAGTTGCATACTGAACACATTTCACAGTCTTGACAGTCAGGAGTTGCATACTGAACACATTTCACAGTCTTGACAGTCAGGAGCTGCATACTGAACACATTTCACAGTCTTGACAGTCAGGAGTTGCATACTGAACACATTTCACAGTCTTGACAGTCAGGGAGCTGCATACTGAACACATTTCACAGTCTTGACAGTCAGGAGTTGCATACTGAACACATTTCACAGTCTTGACAGTCAGGGAGCTGCATACTGAACACATTTCACAGTCTTGACAGTCAGGAGTTGCATACTGAACACATTTCACAGTCTTGACAGTCAGGAGTTGCATACTGAACACATTTCACAGTCTTGACAGTCAGGAGCTGCATACTGAACACATTTCACAGTCTTGACAGTCAGGAGTTGCATACTGAACACATTTCACAGTCTTGACAGTCAGGAGTTGCATACTGAACACATTTCACTGTCTTGACAGTCAGGAGTTGCATACTGAACACATTTCACTGTCTTGACAGTCAGGGGAGTTGCATACTGAACACATTTCACAGTCTTGACAGTCAGGAGTTGCATACTGAACACATTTCACAGTCTTGACAGTCAGGGGAGTTGCATACTGAACACATTTCACAGTCTTGACAGTCAGGGGGAGCTGCATACTGAACACATTTCACAGTCTTGACAGTCAGGGGAGTTGCATATACTGAACACATTTCACAGTCTTGACAGTCAGGAGTTGCATACTGAACACATTTCACAGTCTTGACAGTCAGGAGCTGCATACTGAACACATTTCACAGTCTTGACAGTCAGGGAGTTGCATACTGAACACATTTCACAGTCTTGACAGTCAGGGAGTTGCATACTGAACACATTTCACTGTCTTGACAGTCAGGAGTTGCATACTGAACACATTTCACTGTCTTGACAGTCAGGGAGTTGCATACTGAACACATTTCACAGTCTTGACAGTCAGGAGCTGCATACTGAACATATTTCACAGTCTTGACAGTCAGGAGTTGCATACTGAACACATTTCACAGTCTTGACAGTCAGGAGCTGCATACTGAACACATTTCACAGTCTTGACAGTCAGGAGTTGCATACTGAACACATTTCACAGTCTTGACAGTCAGGGAGCTGCATACTGAACACATTTCACAGTCTTGACAGTCAGGGAGTTGCATACTGAACACATTTCACAGTCTTGACAGTCAGGGTCAGAGTTGCATACTGAACACATTTCACTGTCTTGACAGTCAGGAGTTGCATACTGAACACATTTCACAGTGTTTGACAGTCAGGGGAGTTGCATACTGAACACATTTCACAGTCTTGACAGTCAGGAGTTGCATACTGAACACATTTCACTGTCTTGACAGTCAGGAGCTGCATACTGAACACATTTCACAGTCTTGACAGTCAGGGAGTTGCATACTGAACACATTTCACAGTCTTGACAGTCAGGGGAGTTGCATACTGAACACATTTCACAGTCTTGACAGTCAGGGAGTTGCATACTGAACACATTTCACAGTCTTGACAGTCAGGGAGTTGCATACTGAACACATTTCACAGTCTTGACAGTCAGGGGAGTTGCATACTGAACACATTTCACAGTCTTGACAGTCAGGGCTGCATACTGAACACATTTCACGGTCTTGACAGTCAGGAGCTGCATACTGAACACATTTCACAGTCTTGACAGTCAGGAGTTGCATACTGAACACATTTCACTGTCTTGACAGTCAGGGAGTTTACATACTGAACACATTTCACTGTCTTGACAGTCAGGAGTTGCATACTGAACACATTTCACAGTCTTGACAGTCAGGGAGTTGCATACTGAACACATTTCACAGTCTTGACAGTCAGGAGCTGCATATACTGGACACACATTTTCACAGTCTTGACAGTCAGGAGCTGCATACTGAACACATTTCACAGTCTTGACAGTCAGGGAGTTGCATACTGAACACATTTCACAGTCTTGACAGTCAGGGAGCTGCATACTGAACACATTTCACAGTCTTGACAGTCAGGGAGTTGCATACTGAACACATTTCACAGTCTTGACAGTCAGGGAGTTGCATACTGAACACATTTCACAGTCTTGACAGTCAGGAGTTGTTGCATACTCTTGACAGTCATTTCACAGTCTTGACAGTCAGGGAGCTGCATACTGGACACATTTCACAGTCTTGACAGTCAGGGAGTTGCATACTGAACACATTTCACAGTCTTGACAGTCAGGGAGTTGCATACTGAACACATTTCACTGTCTTGATAGTCAAGGAGTTGCATACTGAACACATTTCACAGTCTTGACAGTCAGGGGGTTGCATGTTGAACACATTTCACTGTCTTGACTGCCAATATGGTTTCATACTGAACACATTTCACATTTTTGACATTCAGGGAGTTGCATACTGAACACGTTTCACTGTCTTGACAGTCAGGGAGTTGCATACTGAACACATTTCACAGTCTTGACAGTCAGGGAGCTGCATACTGAACACATTTCACTGTCTTGACAGTCAGGGAACTGCATACTGAACAGATTTCACCGTCTTGACTGCCAATATGGTTGCATACTGAACACATGTCACAGCTCAACAGTTAGTATAGTGATTTACTGAACAATAAATTGATCACCAATTACGTGACCTTTGGAGTTGTTCCTTCGAGAACATCACGAGTTACGCGTAATTCGAAATAGACATCGTGCTTTCAGTATTCAAGAGTGTTACTTTTAGGTTTCTATCCCAAACATCTACGTTGAACTCGAATACATCAAACTCATTCCAATAGCTGAAGCACTGACAGCAAACAGCATTATCAATGATGCATAATTCAATGTCAATTAATAGAACAAAACCACAGGATTAACGTGCGACAGAAGAGTGGCACATCCAAGCAAGACGTGTGTCCGTGTGTGACGGTGTGTGTGGTGTGTGCGGGGTCACGTGGGCTGCTCGTGGAGCAACAGGTGCGTGGATCAGCAACAAGCCTGGAGGGATGCACTCCTGCTGGCGACCCGGGGACCAAAACACCGCGTGTGATACGATTCTATGTGAATATGGTAAACAAAACGAGAAACATTCCTTTCAAGAGTGAGAAAAATACATATGAACAAAACTGTATCTCATGAAGAAAAAGAAAAAATGCATTAAATTTGACCGAGAAGACAACAAGTGGTTCGACAAGTAATACTACCTTTTCCATTCACCCTTACAACTGTAATGGAAAATATGAAGGGATATGTCACACGTGTGTCAGATTGGATTAAAGAAATCTATTCTCGACATAGGATATGCTGGATCATTGACGGCAACCCGGTTGATGATTGTAGTACATTTGGTTGGGGTTCTTGTCGCAGTTGGTCAGACATTTATACATCTTCATACCCCCAACCCCAACCCCCTCACCTCCACTCCCACACACACACCCCACACACTCGCTACTGCTCACAAGTACTCTTACAGTCGTGTGATGCTATAACACCACTCTACAACAACGTACTGCTTTCTTACGTAAACATGCTGCTTAAGTCCTATAATTTCCACAAAGTTTATTTAAGTCTACATATGAGCAGTAGATATGGTTTCCATGGATACATGTGAACATACCAACAAAACAGAGTTAATACACTGTTGTAATCAATCCTTCAACATCAGGATAAATGGAGACGCTTGGTGAACGAGGATTAAGTATCAAACGCCTAAACCAGGTTCTAAAAATATTTTTTATATAATTTGAACATCGTGTATCCTGACATGTATTCAGTCGTTATATTCACTTCACTGCAAGAATGAGACACGCAGCTTTCACAAGTCCACACTGGATGTCCTGGTCAAGCTCTGTACAGGACCTGGCTGACAGAGGAACACCTACCTCTAGGGGATACACCAACCGTGACTGTCACACAGAAACACCTACTTTAAGATGGATGTAGATTCCGTGACTGGCACACAGAAACACTTACTTTAAGATGGATGTAGATTCCGTAACTGTCACACAGAAACACTTACTTTAAGATGGATGTAGATTCCGTGACTGGCACACAGAAACACCTACTTTAAGATGGATGTAGATTCCGTGACTGTCACACAGAAATGCCTACTTTAAGATGGATGTAGATTCCGTGACTGTCACACAGAAACACCTACTTTAAGATGGATGTAAATTCCGTGACTGTCACACAGAAACACCTACATTAAGATGGATGTAGATTCCGTGACTGTCACACAGAAACACCTACTTTAAGATGGATGTAAATTCCGTGACTGTCACACAGAAACACCTACTTTAAGATGGATGTAGATTCCGTGACTGTCACACAGAAATGCCTACTTTAAGATCGATGTAAATTCCGTGACTGTCACACAGAAACACCTACTTTAAGATGGATGTAGATTCCGTGACTGTCACTACTTTAAGATGGATGTAGATTCCGTGACTGTCACACAGAAACACTTACTTTAAGATGGATGTAGATTCCGTGACTGTCACACAGAAACACCTACTTTAAGATGGATGTAGATTCCGTGACTGTCACACAGAAACACCTACTTTAAGATGGATGTAGATTCCGTGACTGTCACACAGAAACACCTACTTTAAGATGGATGTAAATTCCGTGACTGTCACACAGAAACACCTACTTTAAGATGGATGTAAATTCCGTGACTGTCACACAGAAACACCTACTTTAAGATGGATGTAGATTCCGTGACTGTCACACAGAAATGCCTACTTTAAGATCGATGTAAATTCCGTGACTGTCACACAGAAACACCTACTTTAAGATGGATGTAGATTCCGTGACTGTCACACAGAAACACCTACTTTAAGATGGATGTAAATTCCGTGACTGGCACACAGAAACACATACTTTAAGACGGATGTCGATTCCGTGACTGTCACACAGAAATGCCTACTTTAAGATGGATGTAAATTTCGTGACTGTCACACAGAAACACCTACTTTAAGATGGATGTAGATTCCGTGACTGTCACACAGAAATGCCTACTTTAAGATGGATGTAGATTCCGTGACTGTCACACAGAAACACCTACTTTAAGATGGATGTAAATTCCGTGACTGTCACACAGAAACACCTACTTTAAGATGGATGTAGATTCCGTGACTGTCACACAGAAACACCTACTTTAAGATGGATGTAAATTCCGCGACTGTCACACTGAAATATTCTATTTTTAGGAATATAAACTTTTCGTGACTGTTAGAGAAACCTACTTTTAGGGGACCACATTTCCTTAGTCAGAAAGGAGAACATCTATGTTCATGTTGTTACACATTCTGTGCGTGTATGTTAACATTTAGACAAAACAAAACGTACTTTTAGGGGGGATACACTTCTCGTGCCTGTACCCACACTCAGGCTCGTCCCGCGGGGGTGCGCCAGAGATCCAGTGTATCTTCTCGCCATCGTAGAAATGAAAAGTCTGAAGACAATATGGACATCTGTTTGCTATTTCAATGATTGATTTCTGGCGCAGTGTGCTATTTCATCATGTAAAGACTGAATCAGGTTCATTGATAACACAAAAATACACACAGTTAAAAGAATAAAAAAAGGTGAATAATACATTTGCTGCCTGTCCAGCTGTGCAACTGATCTATACGACAAATGTGAGCAGATGTACGACTTGGGATACGACATACCGGTAGTTCCGAGATGTTGTCATTCAGTTGGAACACACCAACAGGCAGCAATCCCCACTCGTCGGGATTGTCGGGTATTGGTCGCCTTGCAACTAAAGAAAAGTTGCCCTCTGCATCCCCCCTGGAGTTGATGCGGTTGATGTAGCCGAGGGCACCTGTGAGAAGGAGATAGGAATTATCTACCAGGATCTTTATTTCTGTAACTTTCTTTCGTCAAAGATTATCAGAAAGCTGGCTAGGCCTAACCTATCTTTGACTCAGGATATCGTAAGAATGTCAAACGCCTAAGATGGCTACATGCTTGTCGGAAGTGAGTTTTTTCATCTTCATCCAAGATGGCGATAGGCTTTGCCATAGACGACGACGACGATGATGATGATGATGATGGTGTGATTACACTTTGTAATTCTTCAAATTACAGTAGGTCCTGACCAATTAAGATCAGTTTTTCCTAAACATATTTCACATTCTGACGCCCAATGGAGGATGTTTATCAAACAACCGATTTGCTGCAGGTTTAAACATTCACATTTGATGTGGCTAAACTGTGCTATGCAACCTGCCTCTCGGAAACACGATGAAGAACGCTCCACGCAACTGTCACCAGAGGACCATTTGAAGTGACAGTAATAAAGTATGTTTTCTCAAAATGTTTCAGTGTAAATATCTATTGTGTGGTGATGCGCTTGAATAATTCTCCGTTGTGAATAGGTTGGTGTGGGCCAGTTGTCTGCAGCCAGAAAACATACAGCAGTCATTTTTCATTTATATTTGGCCTAATGCATTCATGGATAATGTGTTTCGATTGATGACACCTCTAAATGCACAGAGCTGCTCGTGTTCTCTTCAGCACTACGTATCTATGGCCTGGACCTGTCCGGACTTCACGCCAGCTAACCTCGGACCCTCGATGTGATTATGTTTTATATATGGCACAAAGCCTTCTGGAGTGGCAGAATCGGTCAGCCAGAGAAGGTTTTATATAGAGGGTTGGTTGTCTAAAACATAGCAGGGTTTACTAACTACTAAACTTGCTCAGGTCTCTAAATAAACAGGACAAATTGTCCTTATAAAAGACAGGCGTCCTTTGATTGTCCGGATATCTCGACTTGCCTCTTTAAGAGACAGATTTATTGTACATCCATGCAATGGGCTTAGCATTCAGCGCAGCCTGGGAGCAAGGCAAACTACCCAAACAATATTGTCAGTCTGTCATTATTGTGACGGTTATCCTGGCAATTGAGTGAGTGAGTGAGTATGGTTTAACGCCGCTTTTAGCAATATTCCAGCAATATCACGGCGGGGGACACCAGAAATGGGCTTCACACATTGTGCCCATGTGGGGAATCAAACCCGGGTGTTCAGCGTGACGAGAGAACGCTTTAACAACTGGGCTACCCCACCGCCCCATCATCTCCAGAACAAGATGGCTACATGTAAGATGTGGTATTTAGGATTGTGTCATACCAGCCGTGATGCACATACATTCAGTGAACTAACCTCGCTGATGAAACGTGAAGGATTGTGTCATACCAGCCGTGATGCACATACATTCAGTGAACTAACCTCGCTGATGAAACGTGAAGGATTGTGTCATACCAGCCGTGATGCACATACATTCAGTGAACTAACCTCGCTGATGAAACGTGAAGGATTGTGTCATACCAGCCGTGATGCACATACATTCAGTGAACTAACCTCGCTGATGAAACGTGAAGGATTGTGACAGTTAAACATCATCTGTTCTGCCCAATGAATTCTAGAATGGTACAATGATTTATATGTTTCTCCCTTTTTTCGATTACATTTGTGTCAACGTTGTTGCTACGAAGGGAATGGTGGATTCTACCTGACATCTAAATCTACTGACAAATGTTTCGCTTGTGCAAGTATCACGAATTATACTTTCATAAAACGACAGTTCTCGAGGTTTATGCCTCAATGGGAGAAACAAGATACAGAGGTCTGGCAGTGGTAGTGCACGTTTCCGAAACTTAATGTCAGATCTTGCAAACGTATACGTTACACACAACAGTTTATATCACTTGTAGTGGTGAAGGTACACATCCAACAGACCGATGCGTTCCTTGGCTGTGGCAGACCCGAGCTGGACGGCTGTGACAGTAGTAGCTGGACACTTCCCGCGTGATTAACTGCACAGACCACGCGAGACATATAACACCAGACAGTTGTTGCTCGTCTGTGACTACGCTTTGTCAGAAGACATACATGTGTCAGGACTTTGACAAGGGGGACATCATTCATCAAACCCTCTTGGGCTTATTGCCTCCCTGCGACCGTGCAGCCACACAATACCAGTATGGACAATAATAGCATTGATGCATTTAGATATGTGATTGGTGATAATGGGGGTTATATGTCGGGGAATGCGCTAATATTTTTACATGTATGCTTATATTGATTTACGTAAGTACTTTATTGACATTGGCCCCAACTGTTGGTTTTCCTGCGTTTCCGGGTAGAAGACGCGTGGATGATGATGATGATGATGATGATAAAAAAGATGATGATGGGGATGATGATGGGGATGATGGTGGGGATGAAGGTGAAGTGCACATATTGCCAATCGCATTCTTGTAATGTATGTTCAAAGTGGGGTTATAATGGGGCCTGGCAAGGCCACATGCATCATTGATCAGTAATTGGTGACTTTGCCCATAGCTGACACAGCGGTATTATTCCTACACCGGATAGAATCCATAGCCCTTGTGTGCCTGGAACTCGTCAGTGTATAGAGCTCAGGCCTCGGACGTTAACTGACCATTAAGAGGACACCAAGGCTAATGAATGATGGATTAATCCAGTATAGCTGATCAGAGTGGACACTGGTTGTAACTTGTACGAAATGTCATGGTGTTAGGCGACGTATCGACTTAATCAATTACCCGCCTCACTCTGCATTATTCATCCCTAACAATTGTCAGGCAAAGTTCCACCATCAGCTGTTAATCTTGTTTCTGCGGCCAAGCCGCGCCTTGGCGTAGTGGGCGAGGACCGGAGGATCATACTGTGTAGATTTATTTGTCTGTCTACGTCCTGTATGTTGGAATTATGCAATGGCGGATATTAACAGAAATGTTAACGTCTTAATAAGATCCTCTACTGTGTACACCAAACAAATGTAAAGTTTCCGTGTGGCTCTATAGGCTGACGGTATAGTGGTAGAGACGGAGAGATGTGTGTCATGTCGCCATCAATCACAAAGTCAAACACAAGGTCAAACGGGATGTGTTATACAACTAAATCACTTCAAAATAACCACTTCGCTGAATGTTTATAATCTGACCGGAGACTGTGGTCTGTAAACATACATTGAACACAGGCTATTATCTGTGGGGGAGGTGAACACGTATGGCGCTAAGCCATCAGTGACAAGTGATATGTAGGGTTTCAACGTTTCTAATATGCCGTCGCTTTTTGTGGAACACCATGTATGCACATTACTTCTCACAAGTAACCACACCTCTTTGTCGGAACCAAAGATAAACTGCAACTATACGACACGGTATTTTAGCAAACGTACTGACTTATTTCCACAGAGGTGCCGAAGTATTTCCACAGAGGCCACGCAACTGTGATATCCCCGCACAGATGTTAGAAAATAGCCGAATTGTACCATTGATAAGAGGCAGATAGTTTTGTGAAGAAGAGTAGGCCGGATAGCTCGAGGCCATAGGGGTGAGATGCATATTGATCAAAATGTATAATAAGCAGGCCCCCTAACCGGCCATTAAGTGGCTAATGAATGATGGATTAATCCAGTATTGTCGATCACAGTGGACTTTCCTCTTAACTTGCATGAAATGTCAGTGTGTACCGCAGATAAGAGGTAGCTAATTGTGAGCTGTAGTGTAGGAGGGTGTGTGTGTATATTGATCAGACTAACATGAAGCTGTACGGACAGCGCTGGGTGCCAGTACTTTACCCGCCTCGCTGAACCCGCTAGATATCTACTGGCTGAACTGCCCCAGTGCCTTCACAAATGACGTCATAGTTCAGTAGGTGTCGTAAACAAAACGGGATATAATGTGGAAATTAAACCAACATATCCATCAATATCGCCATTTATTACATTTGAGCAAACACCGTGCAGGGTTATATATGGATCTTATGTTTGACAACTCATCCAAGAGTGATATGGTCAAGATGTGATTGCGGCGGACAATAAGATAGCAGTATCTCAACACATCAGACACAGCGTACATACACACCACGGACACAGAATACACTTACACCCTTAGACACAGCATACATACACACCACAAACACAAAATACACTTACACCCTTAGATACAGGATACTTACACACCACAGACACAGAATACACTTACACCCTTAGACACAGCATATATACACACCACGGTCACAGAATACACTTACACCCTTAGACACAGCATATATACACACCACGGTCACAGAATACACTTACACCCTTAGACACAGCATATATACACACCACAGACACAGAATACACTTACACCCTTAGACACAGCATATATACACACCACAGACACAGAATACACTTACACCCTTAGATACAGCGTACATACACACCACAGACACAGAATACACTTACACCCTTAGACACAGCATATATACACACCACAGACACAGAATACACTTACACCCTTAGACACAGCATATATACACACCACAGACACAGAATACACTTACACCCTTAGATACAGCATACATACACACCACAGACACAGAATACACTTACACCCTTAGACACAGCATATATACACACCACGGTCACAGAATACACTTACACCCTTAGACACAGCATATATACACACCACGGTCACAGAATACACTTACACCCTTAGACACAGCATATATACACACCACAGACACAGAATACACTTACACCCTTAGACACAGCATATATACACACCACAGACACAGAATACACTTACACCCTTAGATACAGCGTACATACACACCACAGACACAGAATACACTTACACCCTTAGACACAGCATATATACACACCACAGACACAGAATACACTTACACCCTTAGACACAGCATATATACACACCACAGACACAGAATACACTTACACCCTTAGACACAGCATATATACACACCACAGACACAGAATACACTTACACCCTTAGACACAGCGTACACACGCATAATAAATACAGCATACATACACTTCCGACAGCACTTCCCACACATATGTCCCAGAATAGAATTTCACATGTTCATACATACACTTAGTATACGTGTAAATGACATACATGAGATTATTTTTGAGATGTTATTCCACTCTCAATATTACAGAATATTTTCATACGTTACTCTTTCTTTCTGTATGTGTTCATCAGTTCTGTAGTTTTTTCTGTCAGTCATTTATTTCAATAAACTGAAATTCAAGAATAGCTTCCAGTGCTATGACAGCCAGGCATCGTATGGCGGGATTCAAGGCCATGGTTTTGTTTACAACGACGTACAGGTCTTCTCTAACAGACACACTCGACAAAAACAACTTTTTAAAAAGCAAAGACACGCAATGGTGTCCAAAATACTTGATCTCTTTGTAAGTGAAGAAGTTTAATTGAACTCAGACAAAAATCTGCATCCGAACGAAGAAGGTGCACGCTCCCGAATGCACATGTGTCATTTTGAATTCTGTCAGTACCGATCCGGGACGGAAGGGTTGGCGCTGGCGAGTCGAGGATGGCGCCACGATTCCTTGTGCAGTACTGCCAGCTTAAGGCGTATCCAACACCTGTGATCGGTGGTTCTAATCCAACATTCACTTGATCACATTTCTTGGTTTGTTTGCACCAAATACAACGTCTGATATCTCCATTACCCGGGCTTCCCTGTCGCGTAGACGCCTTCATCTCAATCACAGCAACGTTTAACTCACTCACTCACACACTCACTCATTCACTCACTAACCCACCGACCAACTCACTCACTCACCCACTCACTCACTCAAACATCACTGACGTGAACTCTACTTACTTTTGTATGTCATTCCCATGATCTGGTTTATAATGGCTCGTCCATCGTTGATGTCGCCCCCCTTCTCAAGCACTTCTTGCGTTGCACGTGCATACAACCACACGGCGTCGTAAAGATACGCAGCTTCCGGTCGAATCTGCAAGAGAACATTCGCATGGTACTTCACAAAGGTCATTTATATGCATATGTATGTGTGGGATAAAACAATATTTATTCTCTCTCTCTCTCTCTCTCTCTCTCTCTCTCTCTCTCTCTCTCTCTCTCTCTCTCTCTCTCTCTCTCTCTCTCTCTCTCTCTCTCTCTCTCTCTCTCTCTCTCTCTCTCTCCACACACGTATGGAAAAAGGGAGACAATAGCTTATATCCACACATGCATGCACTGCTCTGCCTAATAGTTCTATGCTGGGTTCATTCCCATGTTTTACGGTGATTGTACAAGTAACTATCGGAATTCTACAGCAGTCCACGAAGGAGACCAATACAGCAAATGTCTATCATTATCTATTGATTACCGACCGTCGCCGTTAAATGAGGAATGGCTTGACGTTCATCATGTCAGTGTTTCTCTGTAGAGGTAACCTGATTGTGCCGTTGTTTGTTGCGAACATGATCTAATATGACACGGTATATCATTCAGAAGAGCGGTTATCTTATACTTAGAAATCACGAACACAGTAACAATTTGACCACCGGGGCTCTAGATAAAAAGATCTCCGTAGCATAAATTGTAATTTAATCAAGTGAATTATTACTCAGTTTTATTCAATTGTTTCTTTTAGATTTGGATGTTTTAATGATGAAATCAAAATGTGCCTTGTAAATACATTAGCGTAGCCCAAGCATGAGTCACGAAGTCACGAAGATGAGAAACACCGACGGTATTGCAACCCTATACAACTTGACCTTGGATATATTCGCCATTGTCTGACCATGTATTCATTGCTGAGGCCACACTACATCCGCACCCTACACTCACACCGTCACCGACATCACCGCACTCTACACCAACACCGACAACACTGCACCCTACACCGACATCACTGCACCCTACACCGACACCGTCACCGACATCACTGCACCCTACACCGACACCGATACCCACACCGTCACCGACATCACTGCACCCTACACCGACACCGTCACCGACATCACTGCACCCTACACCGACACCGACACCCACACCGTCACCGACATCACTGCACCCTACACCGACACCGTCACCGACATCACTGCACCCTACACCGACATCGACACCCACACCGTCACCGACATCACTGCACCCTACACCCACACCGTCACCGACATCACTGCACCCTACACCGACACCGTCACCGACATCACTGCACCCTACACCCACACCGTCACCCACACCGTCACCGACATCACTGCACCCTACACCTACACCGTCACCGACATCACTGCACCCTACAGCGATACCGACATCAGTGCACCCTACACCGACACCGACACCGACATCATTGCACCCTACAGCGATACCGACATCACTGCACCCTACACCGACACCGACATCACTGCAACCTACACCGACACCGACATCACTTCACCTACGAGCATCTCCTTCATGGGCAACCGCTTCAATGAACTTTCAGTTGACGTACGTTCCATTGATGTAAAATAAACGAAATACATGCGTGGTGTATGTGTGATGTCAGTTAGGCTGGCGGTGTTACACACATGGGACTTCATCCTACTCAGAAGCTGTTTGGTCAAGGCTACAACATTGAAAGCCTATGTAAAGCTTTCCAGTAGAGTTATGGTGGACACCATAGGAAATGTCTAAGTTTGACGCGTCGGTGACAAATTATACTGATACAATTCCTTATTTTCACTTGCACTATACGTTCTTATATTTTAGGTGAGCAACGTTTTGCCAAGAAGCGGTAGGTGTTTTGTTAATTTAATATTGTTCAAAAATAGTCAAACATCCATGTCCCTTTAACTGATTCGCCCATGCCGGCGAGAAATAGAAGACACCAGTTTAATACATATCTTTTTCGTGTTTAAATCGAAGGATAGAGAATCATGGTGACCGACAACCTCGACAAGGCTGTATCACTTGGAAGAACAAGTATATATGGATGACAACTTCTTTTATTTAGAGCACGGCGTTTCGATACAGGTTCTTGTATCGTTTTCAAGTATACTTTTCATACTTGATAACGATACAAGAACCTGTATCGAAACGTCGTGCTCTACATAAAAGAAGTTGTCATCCATATATACTTGTTCTGACTTCCAACTTCTAACATGCCACTCAGAGAAGCTGCATCACCAGAGACAAGACTTCAACTTCCAATACTGAATTTCCCTTTAAGTCGAACAATACAATTGTTGAGGTACAAACAGGCATGGTCATTCGGTACACTTATCAAACAGCGTCATATGACTTGCGCCATAATTGTTTTGTCAAGGTTTCAACATGCAAGGAAAAACTTTCAAAATGCACAACTTGAATGACACTACTCACACTGAACTGTGTGTAGATAGAATTAGGTTATTATGAAGTTACACTCACTGGAATATATTCGAAAGGAAAATGTTTCAATAAAATAGCGCACGTTGAAATATTCTAAATGGTATGTTTGATAAATGTACACACACTTGAATGTTTAGATAATACAAACGTAATGAAATTGCACACATTGAAATATCTTTCAGTGAAATTATTGCAGTGTATTTTCACACACAGGAACATCTTTAAAGAAACAAACTTGCAATGAAATCACATACATTGAAAACGTCTACATGCAAATCATTTAACGAATTTGCATAAACGTGAATATGTTTAATGAATTAAATTGCACACATTATATAATAGCTTTGCGTGAAATTAGTACAGTGGAATTGCACAGAATGAACTACGTCTAAATGAAATCGGCTTGATGAAAGTACACATGTACACTTGAATATATTTTAGCGAAATATGTTCACTGTGCAATTACGCGGATGTGATTACAATAGAATCTTTCAGTGTCCTTCACACACTCATTAACTCATTAACTGATTAAAGCTTTAATGAAATTACATACATTACAAAACCGTTAACGGAATTGCATACAGTGTTATATGTTTACGTGAAAATAGTTTTATAAATATCTTTAAATGAAATTAGTCATTATGAAATTGTCCAAAGCGAGGTATGTTTAAATGAACGCTGTTTACAGAAACTACACGTTTACACATCACTGAACGTAGCTGAATGGCATTGCGGAAATGGGAATAGGTTCAATTAGTTTAATAGTCCTCAACACATTGAAATATCTTTGAAAAAAATACTTAAGATATTGTACAAAGACGTTTAATGAATTTTTTTTAATTGAAACTATTTGAATGTATGTAAAAGTAAATAGCAGACGGACATGCACAAATCCGAATGTTGCACTGAAAATAGTTAAATGAAATGAAATTTTACATACTTGAATATGTTTAAATGAAATTACATAAACTGGAAGACATTTCAATGAAAATCGTTTACCTAAACTGCATACATTTTAATACGGTTATCCAATATTGCCTATTAGAAATGCCTAATGTGGAATATGGTAAAGGTAAAATTAGTCTGATAAATTACACATGTTGCAATATGTTAGAATGAATTGAGTTTCCATATGTGTACGTAAAGAATACATATCTCTGACCAAATAAACAAAAAAAGGATTACAAACAATTATGTACACTGGGATAGGTGTATTCTGAAATGAAAAGGGCTTAAAGAATTGGAATAATTTGGAAAGAAAAGAATGAAGTTGTCCATGTTGGAATATGTTAGACTGAATATGTTCAAAAGATATGAAATTGCACAGATTACAATATGTGAAATTAAATAGGTGAATGTTATTGCTCAAAATGAGATATATTTGATTCAAAATAGTGTCAAGAGATCCACGTAATAGAAAATTATTAAGGGGAAAATATATAAATAGAATTACGGATAATGGAATATGTTGGCACAGAAATATTATTAAGGGAGTACTAACACTGAAACAAGATTGAATGACCATATTTTGAATCACATTACACCCATGGGATTATGTACATTTCATTTCTTAGTGCTTTGAAACTGCACACATTGAAATACTGTTAAAGGAATCCATTTACATGATACCACACACATTGAAACATGTAAAAGAGGATATCGTTCAACGAAGATACACACATTGAAACATGTATAAGAGGATATCGTTCAACGAAGATACACACATTGAATCATGTATAAGAGTATATCGTTCAACGAAGATACACACATTGGGATTTGCTGAAATTGAATTAGTTTAATACGTTTTATTACCTTAATTACACCCCGTAATGTGTTTGAATGAAATAGTTTCATGAAATTAAACACAATGAATATTTTAAATAAAAACAGTTTCAAGAAATTAAACACTGGAATTTATTTATCTAAAACTAGTTTAATGAAATTACAGACACTTGAACATATTGATACGTAAATAGTTTCATGAAATCAGTGGTGGTGACAAGGTGTTATTATATATAAAGCATTAAGTAAAACAAACGAAAACTCGCTCTCGCCTGAACACGCGCCTGGGCTCAGCCTGGTATAAACTCAGACGCACATTACCACGAGACTCCTAAGTGGATCTGAACATGAATTTCTCAAATAATCGTTTCACTGATTGCTTCTGTAAAGATGTACTCTACTGCTCGGGAGCATTCAGTGCACTGGAGTTACGCTGAGCAAGTATTTACACGACAACTCTCGTTTCTCTCTTGCATATGCTGATACAGACATCTAACAACTACGTTTACAGATTGACCACCTGCGTTATGCCTCTAACAGCCCGCATCACGTTCAGTGAGCTGGCACCTGTCTCAATGAACAGCCAAAGATAGAGGGAATGTATTTAAGTTTGTACTTTAGGTTTTTAGGGAAATTACGCTGTACTTGTTTATGAATTTATAGATTATTTCTTTACTACCAATATTATTGAGATTTGTTATCATTAACATTTGATATACAGGTCCATAAGAACGCGCTTGTTATACAGTTGGAATTGTACTCTAGGACCCGGCACGCCAGGAACCTAGGTTACTGATTCCCCTCGGGCTTTATTCCTGAGTGCCAGACGGTCAGATGTGCGTCCAGATTACCCTCCATGTCCACACCGGGATATACTGTAATACGGTTAACAGCTTACCCTCCATGTCCACACTGGGATATACTGTAATACGGTTAACAGCTTACCCTCCATGTACACACAGGGATATACTGTAATACGGTTAACAGCTTACCCTCCATGTACACACAGGGAAATACTGTAATACGGTTAACAGCTTGTCCACCTCCATTGTAATCCAACAGCTTACCCCCATGTCCACACAGGGATATACTGTAATACGGTTAACAGCTTACCCTCCATGTACACACAGGGATATACTGTAATACGGTTAACAGCTTACCCCCCATGTCCACACCAGGATATACTGTAATACGGTTAACAGCTTACCCTCCATGTACACACAGGGATATACTGTAATACGGTTAACAGCTTACCCTCCATGTACACACAGGGATATACTGTGATACGGTTAACAGCTTACCCCCAATGTCCACACCAGGATATACTGTAATACGGTTAACAGCTTACCCTCCATGTCCACACCGGGATATACTGTAATACGGTTAACAGCTTACCCCCAATGTCCACACCAGGATATACTGTAATACGGTTAACAGCTTACCCTCCATGTCCACACCGGGATATACTGTGATACGGTTAACAGCTTACCCCCCATGTCCACACCGGGATATACTGTTATACGGTATGACACTCTCTCACTGCATCACATCCACCAGACACAGCATGCAATCAGAACACACTGAAGACTTACAGCTTTTTTCCCTCCCATATCCTTGAATGGGTTGGAGTAGTTGAAGGGCGGGGCTTCCAGATAGTGATTGACGACACTGCTGAAGATGTCGAAGTCGGGCATGATGGGAGGTGACGTAACAACGCTTAAGAAGTGTCGGAACGCTGCTGCACTGCGCCTTGTTACGTTCGTGTCGAATAAACCTGCAATACAACGAGAGTGATCTCAGTGTCGAACAAACCTGCAATACAACGAGAGTGATCTCAGTGTCGAACAAACCTACAATACAACGAGAGTGATCTCAGTGTCGAACAAACCTGCAATACAACGAGAGTGATCTCAGTGTCGAACAAACCTGCAATACAACGAGAGTGATCTCAGTGTCGATCAAACCTGCAATACAACGAGAGTGATCTCAGTGTCGAACAAACCTGCAATACAACGAGAGTGATCTCAGTGTCGAACAAACCTACAATACAACGAGAGTGATCTCAGTGTCGAACAAACCTGCAATACAACGAGAGTGATCTCAGTGTCGAACAAACCTGCAATACAACGAGAGTGATCTCAGTGTCGATCAAACCTGCAATACAACGAGAGTGATCTCAGTGTCGAACAAACCTGCAATACAACGAGAGTGATCTCAGTGTCGAACAAACCTGCAATACAACGAGAGTGATCTCAGTGTCGAACAAACCTGCAATACAACGAGAGTGATCTGAGTGTCGAACAAACCTGCAATACAACGAGAGTGATCTCAGTGTCGAACAAACCTGCAATACAACGAGAGTGATCTGAGTGTCGAACAAACCTGCGATACAACGAGAGTGATCTGAGTGTCGAACAAACCACAAGAGTGACTTCAGTGTCTTCACAGCAAACATGACCTGACATCACTGACTTGACACTGACTCGACACTGACACGACACTGACATGACACTGACACTACACTGACACGACACTGACACAACACTGACATGACAATGAGAAGACACTGACATGACACTGACACGACACTGGTACGACACTGGCACATTGACACGACACTGACACGACACTGACACGGCATTGACACAACACTGACATGACACTGACATGACATTGACACAACACTGACACGACACCGACACCAACACCGACACGATAAGACACGATACGACACGACACTGACATGACACTGAAACGACTGTCAGGACACTGACACGACACAGACACGACACTGACACGACACAGACACGACATGACATTGACACGACATTGACACGACACTGACACGACATTGATACGACACTGACACGACACTGACACGGCATTGACACGACATTGACAGGACATTGACACCCGACATTGACACGACACTGATACGACATTCACAGGACACTGACACGACACAGACACGACACAGACCGGCCACTGACACTGTACTCTCCGTCTTAATGGAAGAAATAAAGCACATTCATTCATTCATTCATTCATTGACGACACTGATACGACACTGACACGACACTGACACGACATTGACACGACACTGACACAACACTGACACGACACTAACACAACATTGACACGACACTGATACGACACTGACACGACACTGACACGACATTGACATGACACTGAAGCTCATGTTTTGAATTTCGATAACGCACGACTGAGAACTATAAGTGTTAAAATGTGTATGGCATTGAGGTTACCTTGCATGAATTTCTGGGGATTCATGGAGTCGAACTGGTTGACCTCCACGCCGACCACGAAGTAGTCTGCGCTGTCGAGGAGTCCGGCTTCATACAGGTGGTCCATGAGCCCCATAAACTCGTAGTAGAGGCCCAGCATGACGTAGACTGGAACAACACTGATGGCTTCAGGTGGGTTATTATAACACAGACAGTCAGCGTCAACATAGACTGGAACAATACTGATGGCTTCAGGTGGGTTATTATAACACAGACAGTCAGCGTCAACATAGACTGGAACAACACTGATGGCTTCAGGTGGGTTATTATAACACAGACAGCCAGCGTCAACATAGCATGGAACAATACTGATGGCTTCAGGTGGGTTATTATAACACAGACAGTCAGCACGACGTAGACTGGAACAACACTGATGGCTTCAGGTGGGTTATTATAACACAGACAGTCAGCATGACGTAGACTGGAACAATACTGATGGCTTCAGGTGGGTTATTATAACACAGACAGTCAGCACGACGTAGACTGGAACAACACTGATGGCTTCAGGTGGGTTATTATAACACAGACAGTCAGCGTCAACATAGCATGGAACAATACTGATGGCTTCAGGTGGGTTATTGGGACACAGACAGCCAGGGTCAACATAGCATGGAACAATACTGATGGCTTCAGGAGGGTTAGTATAACACAGACAGCCAGCGTCAACATAGCATGGAACAATACTGATGGCTTCAGGAGGGTTATTGCAACACAGACAGCCAGCGTCAACATAGCATGGAACAATACTGATGGCTTCAGGAGGGTTATTGCAACACAGACAGCCAGCGTCAACATAGCATGGAACAATACTGATGGCTTCAGGTGGGTTATTGCAACACAGACAGTCAGCGTCAACATAGCATGGAACAATACTGATGGCTTCAGGAGGGTTATTGCAACACAGACAGCCAGCGTCAACATAGCATGGAACAATACTGATGGCTTCAGGTGGGTTATTAAAACACAGACAGTCAGCGTCAACATAGCATGGAACAATACTGATGGCTTCAGGTGGGTTATTGCAACACAGACAGTCAGCGTCAACATAGCATGGAACAATACTGATGGCTTCAGGAGGGTTATTGGGACACAGACAGCCAGCGTCAACATAGCATGGAACAATACTGATGGTTTCAGGAGGGTTATTATAGCAACGTTATAAGCAACGATCCCCAACTAACGACACTCGTTGCTCGTGACATCAAACACAGCAGTATATAGATCTGACTGCCAGGAAGCAACTGCCATGCTGCTGGAATACTGCTCAGTTTGGCGTCAACAACAAACGACGATCTCACCTCTGAACAATATTGGAAATATTTTATCACCCCTTTACCCATCAACATGTATGCTACAGTTAGGAAACTGTAAAGCTGTTTGTGGGCTATAAAACGAACAACCTCAACAGTGTTCGAACATGTCCCCTGAAACCATGCACTGACTGATTCCATATGCTATGTGATCTATGCTCACGTGTCTTATGTTGCCAACCGTAGGCCGTAATAAAACATATAAAACTCTCTGGTCTCTTTCTGTTGTCCGATCAGATGCTGGTCCCTGACCTTCGAGAGGCCTTGACCTTCAAGTGGCCGGATATTGCCTTCTTCAGCAGATTACCCACAATGATGCGATGCATCCAAATTTTGTTTGTTAGTTTAACGAGGAAATCAGCAGTTTTCCAGCTACATCAGCGTGGCGTGTGTAATTAATCCAGTCTGTGCTGACGTGTCTACTATACACCTACACCACACTGACACGTCACATATCACAAACATATGACTGATTTAACAAGTTGGCAGTCGACTGTCACTCCGTCGATAACAAGTGAGTGGGTATTGTTTAACGCCGCACTAGAGGTTTGGCAGCTCTCTGCACTGATAACTGATAATGAATTGACCCCGCGTCATCGACCAGTACATGATTTCAGAACAATATTGAGTTAAGTGGTCGAAAACTATGCCATTACCATGGGTCTGCAAGTAAGATAGACTGTAATCGTAGGCGTCATGCATTGCAGAGGAGAGCCAAGTCAGTCCTCAGGGGCACGAGGTACACATCGACATGAAGATGTTTGTACTGCATCTTATACAGGCAGTGTCATCAGTTCGGGGAGGAAGCAGTGGAACATTATAGGTGGGTCGACGCATTGGGGAGGGGGAGGGGAAGGGGAAGGGGGAGACGAACAAACATCAGCGTCAAGAGGGATAAGCTCAAGCTTGACTGGGGCGACGTAGCACCACACTCCCCACTACTCACTCGGGCAGACATTGGGAGAAGATTATTGAACTAAATAATCAAATCAATTTGCCTCTCAGACAGACACGCAAATATAACATCAGGCACATTGCACACGATCATTTGAATACACAAGTGATTTCATAGGCCCGTCATCAACTTCCATATGGGCTCTGAGTACATTGGATGTTTATAAGTTTGTTGTAGCTGATAGATATAAATGGTACTTAAAGTCTGACTTGCGTGATTGACAAACATCATCTACAAGACCCAGACACTCGGAACCGAACCCTACTGTGAGGCACTGCTGAAGAGTTGTAACTGGTGAACAAGATCTCCCTCACTCTCTCCTACATAGCCTGACACATACATACATGTTCTCTAACACTGATATGAATTTACATGAGTTCCACCTTCCTACTACATAACCTGATAAACATGACCTTCACCTTCCTAATACATTATCTGATATACGTGACATTCACCTTCCTAATACATTATCTGATAAACGTGACCTTCACCTTCCTAATACATTATCTGATATGCATGACCTTCACCTTCCTAATACATTATCTGATATACATGGCCTTCACCTCCCTGATACATTAGCGGATATACATGACCTACACCTTCCTAATACATTATCTGATGTAGATGACCTTCACCCCCCTCATAAATTAGCTGATATAGATGACCTTCACCCCCTCATACATTAGCTGATATACATGACCTACACCTTCCTAATACATTATCTGATGTAGATGACCTTCACCCCCCTCATAAATTAGCTGATATAGATGACCTTCACCCCCTCATACATTAGCTGATATAGATGACCTTCACCTTCCTAACACAATATCTAATATAGATGACATCCATACATCCCTACACCGTGACACCTACACCCCTACAACGTGACACCTACACGTGACACCTACACCCCTACACCGTGAAACCTACACCCCTACACCGTGACACCTACACCCCTACACCGTGACACCTACACCCCTACACCGTGACACCTACACCCCTACACCGTGACACCTACACCCCTACACCGTGACACCTACACCCCGACACCTACACCCCTACACCGTGACACCTACACGTGACACCTACACCCCTACACCGTGACACCTACACCCCTACACCGTGACACCTACACCCCTACACCGTGACACCTACTTCTGGTGTCGGTCTTGGTCTCCGCCACGATCTTGACGAAAGGGTTCTCCATGTGTTTGTGGAAGTAGGGGCTGATGTATTCTCTGCGAAACGTCACGTTGATGCCGTACTCCTTCAGCAACTGAAAAAGTGATTGGCAGTCAGTGTGTCGCATAACACTAGCCTGGGGCTGCCGCAAATAGAATTATATGACAAACATGTGCACTAGGCGCGAGGAGGAATTGAATTTTCAAGACTCAATCATTTATCATGCCACACAAAAAACACGCACATATAAAGATTCAGATTTTCGACAGTCGCAATAAATTCGTTTCGCATTAAGCATTTGATCAGAAAATTTGAACTGTTTCAGACCAATTAGTGTCCAAACGGGGCGTGAGCATTTAAAAGTGAGAGTAAGTTATGGGTTGCGGCGGTGGGTGTCGACCACAGCACGTACTGGCAGGCGCGAGATTGATGCGGAGAAGGATATCGAACTGCGTTGCAAAGAGTGGTTGCTGTTTGTATGCAGAACGATATAATCATTGGTTTGTTTTTATGGCTATGAATGCCTCCATAGATTTGTTTCATGAAAGTTACACTGACATTCCAAAAATGATAACGTTTGTTAGAAAATGAGTGATGTAGGAACATGATGCATATAACTCTTCTACTTACACAGCTCGCTTGGCCAGGGAATGGACATCACACGTAAGAAATACAATACAGAAACATCCATCAGCCCCTTTAACGTGTACTAGTTGCGTGGATACGTGCGATACAATAATGTCCTATTATAATAGTCAGCAAAATACCTTCCAATACAGAGTAACCGTGTTACAACTGGGTTTCAGCAACCAATGCTTGTCGCAAGAGGCGTGTAACGGGATCAGGTGGTCAGACTCACTGACTTTGTTGGCACATGTCATTGTATCGCAGTTGCGTAGATAGATGGTCATTATGTTGATTACTAGATTGTCTGGTCCATATTCGATTATTTACAGACCGCCGCCACAGTAACAACCAACCAACTATATATAGTAACAACCAACCAACTATATATAGTAACAACTAACCATATATATATAGTAACAACTAACCATATATATATAGTAACAACTAACCAACTAGATATAGTAACAACCGACCAACTATATACAGTAACAACTAACCATATATATATAGTAACAACCAACCAACTATATATAGTAACAACCAACCAACTATATATATTAACAACTAACCAACTAGATATAGTAACAACCAACCAACTATATACAGTAACAACCAACCAACTATATAAACTAACAACCAATCAACTATATACAGTAACAACCAACCAACTATATACAGTAACAAATAACCAACTATATATAGTAACAAATAACCAACTATATATAGTAACAACCAACCAACTATATACAGTAACAACCAGCCAACTATATATAGTAACAACTAACCAACTATATATAATAACAACCACCCAACTATATATAGTAAGAACCAACCAACTAAATACAGTAACAACAAACCAACTATATATAGTAACAACTAACCAACTATATATAGTAACAACCACCCAACTATTTATAGTAACAACCAACCAACTATATACAGTAACAACCAACCAACTATATATAGTAACAACTAACCAGGTATATATAGTAACAACTAACCAACTATTTATAGTAACAACTAACCAACTATATATAGTAACAACTAACCAACTATATATAGTAACAACTAACCAACTATATATAGTAACAACTAACCAACTATATATAGTAACAACTAACCAACTATATATAGTAATAACTAACCAACTTTATATAGTAACAACTAACCAACTATATATAGTTACAACTAACCAACCATATATAGTAACAACCAACCAACTATATATAGTAACAACCAACCAACTATATATAGTAACAACTAACCAACTATATATAGTAACAACCAACCAACTATATATAGTAACAAAAAAACCAACTATGTATAGTAACAACCAACCAAATATGTATAGTAACAACCAACCACCTATGTATAGTAACAACTAACCAACTATATATAGTAACAACCAATCAACTATATATAGTGACAACTAACCAACTATATATGGTAACAACCAACCAACTATATATAGTAACAACTAACCAACTATATATAGTAACAACTAACCAACTATATATAGTAACAACTAACCAACTATATATAATAACAACCGACCAACTATATATAGTAACAACCAACCAACTATATATAGTAATATCCAACCAACTATATATAGTAACAACTAACCAGCTATATAGAGTAACAACCAACCAACTATTTATAGTAACAACCAACCAACTATATATAGTAACAACCAACCAAATATATATTGTAACAACCAACCAACTATAAATAGTAACAACCAACCAACTTTATATAGTGACAACCAACCAACTATATATAGTAACAACCAACCAACTATATATAGTAACAACTAACCAACTATATATAGTAACAACCGACCAACTATATACAGTAACAACCAACCAACTATGTATAGTAACATTCAACCAACTATATATAGTAACAACCAACCAACTATATATAGTAACAACCAACCAACTATATGTAGTAACAACTAACCAACTATATATAGTAACAACCAACCAACAATATATAGTAACAACCAACCAGCTATGTATAGTAACAACCAAACAAATATGTATAGTAACAACCAACCATGTATAGTAACAACCAACCAACTATATATAGTAACAACTAACCAACTATATATAGTGACAACTAACCAACTATATATAGTAACAACTAACCATATATATATAGTAACAACTAACCAACCAGATATAGTAACAACCGACCAACTATATATAGTAACAACTAACCATATATATATAGTAACAACCTACAAACTATATACAGTAACAACCAACCAACTATATATAGTAACAAATAACCAACTATATATAGTAACAACTAACCAACTATATATAGTAACAACCAACCAACTATATACAGTAACAACCAGCCAACTGTATATAGTAACAACTAACCAACTATATATAATAACAACCACCCAACTATATATAGTAACAACCAACCAACTAAATACAGTAACAACCAACCAACTATATATAGTAACAACTAACCAACTATATATAGTAACAACCAACCAGCTATGTATAGTAACAACCAAACAAATATGTATAGTAACAACCAACCAACTATGTATAGTAACAACCAACCAACTATATATGGTAACAACTAACCAACTATATATAGTGACAACTAACCAACTATATAAAGTAACATCCAACCAACTATATATAGTAACAACCAACCAACTATATATAGTAACAACCAACCAACTATATATAGTAACAACCAACCAACTATATATAGTAACAACCAACCAACTATATATAGCAACAACGAACCAACTATATATAGTAACAACCAACCAACTATTTATAGTAACAACTAACCAACTATATATAGTAACAACTAACCAACTATATATAGTAACAACCAACCAACTATATATAGTAACAACTAACCAACTATATATAGTAACAACCAACCAACTATATATAGTAATATCCAACCAACTATATATAGTAACAACTAACCAGCTATATATAGTAACAACCAACCAACTATTTATAGTAACAACAAACCAACTATATATAGTAACAACCAACCAACTATATATAGTAACAACCAACCAACTATATATAGTAACAACCAACCAACTTTATATAGTGATTACCAACCAATATATATATATAGTAACAACTAACCAACTATATATAGTAACAACTAACCAACTATATATAGTAACAACCGACCAACTATATACAGTAACAACCAACCAACTATGTATAGTAACATTCAACCAACTATATATAGTAACAACCAACCAACTATATATAGTAACAACCAACCAACTATATGTAGTAACAACTAACCAACTATATATAGTAACAACCAACCAACTATATATAGTAACAACCAACCAGCTATGTATAGTAACAACCAAACAAATATGTATAGTAACAACCAACCAACTATGTATAGTAACAACGAACCAACTATATATAGTAACAACTAACCAACTATATATAGTGACAACTAACCAACTATATATAGTAACAACTAACCATATATATATAGTAACAACTAACCAACTAGATATAGTAACAACCGACCAACTATATATAGTAACAACTAACCATATATGTAAAGTAACAACCAACCAACTATATACAGTAACAACCAACCAACTATATACAGTAACAAATAACCAACTATATATAGTAACAACTAACCAACTATATATAATAACAACCTCCCAACTATATATAGTAACAACCAACCAACTAAATACAGTAACAACCAACCAACTATATATAGTAACAACCAACCAACTATATATAGTAACAACCAACCAACTATATATAGTAACAACCAACCAACTATATATAGTAACAACCAACCAACTATATATAGCAACAACGAACCAACTATATATAGTAACAACCAACCAACTATTTATAGTAACAACTAACCAACTATATATAGTAACAACTAACCAACTATATATAGTAACAACCAACCAACTATATATAGTAACAACTAACCAACTATATATAGTAACAACCAACCAACTATATATAGTAATATCCAACCAACTATATATAGTAACAACTAACCAGCTATATATGGTAACAACCAACCAACTATTTATAGTAACAACAAACCAACTATATATAGTAACAACCAACCAACTATATATAGTAACAACCAACCAACTATATATAGTAACAACCAACCAACTTTATATAGTGATTACCAACCAACTATATATAGTAACAACTAACCAACTATATATAGTAACAACTAACCAACTATATATAGTAACAACCGACCAACTATATACAGTAACAACCAACCAACTATGTATAGTAACATTCAACCAACTATATATAGTAACAACCAACCAACTATATATAGTAACAACCAACCAACTATATGTAGTAACAACTAACCAACTATATATAGTAACAACCAACCAACTATATATAGTAACAACCAACCAGCTATGTATAGTAACAACCAAACAAATATGTA